AGAAGAGAGAAAATTACAATGGATATTCTAGTAATTTATGTTCTCATACTTATTAAATTGTATAGAATAGCCTAATATTTTTAGAGAACATGTAGGGGACGTCCAAACCCTCTTAATAGAGTTTTTGATGAAGTACGATGTCAAAAAATCGAGTCCAAAACGAAATAAGAGAAGAAAAAGCAGAAAAACGAAACAAAACAGGCGAGGTGGATGCCGCGACGCCGGTTGTTCTGTTCGGGAATTTTTTTATTTTTATTTTTATCCCAAACTCTTCTTCAAGTTTAATACTAATTTTCAACTCCCAATGGACTTTCAAAATAAAACTTCAACTTGACATATGACTCCAATAGCATTCCAAACTGAATTCTCCTTGACGTACACTTCAATTAAAATTCTTCAATTACTTCAAGCACTTCAACAAAACTTCAACAAAGGAATTCGGGACACCCAAATTCCAACAAACTCCAAAAAGGTTCTCCTCCATGTCTGCTTGTGGCAAATCATCTCCTGTTCCTTCCTCGTGTCCTCTTCACAATGCTCATTGTGAAGATAGTTTTGCCTGAAGAAAAGCAACTGCATTAAACCACTGGTGGATTTACTTGTGGGCAAAGAAACCAATGTCCAAATTGCTGTATTTGAAGCACTCTCAACTCTTCTGCTTGACCCTTCCAAGGGAGGGGTCGATGAGCTTGAGCACCTAGGAGTGGTAGATCACGTGATAGAGGTGTTCACAAGAGCTCAACCAGGGCAGATTCAGCAGAAAGCTATTTGGATGGTGGAAAGGATATTTAGCATTGAAAACTACGCATTCCAACATTCACTGAACCAAACCCTGGTTAGGGCTTGAGGCCTTAAAATATGGAAATTCAATCACAAAGAAGCATGCTCAGGATGCACTAAGCAAATATCAGCCGTTAGTCGAAAGACCTACAGTCCAACTCAGCAAATATCAGTGGTTGGTTAAAAGACCTCCAGTCCAACTCGGAGACATAGATACACGAGTTCATTTCCATTAGGAATTCATCCACTATCTTATGTTAAGACGACATTGATTATGAAAAATCGAACAAAATAGTGTAATGTAGTACCCTGAGTTGATGTAAAACAGTAAGATTTTATATTCCAACTTATTCTCTCATATAAGTAACACTACCAAGTTACATTCCTGTACACAGTGCAGCGTAGGCTAGAAGGCAGAAGGTTTCTTAGCAACTATTACACAACAGGAACCAGCCAAACTTTACAATATAATACAAAGGAAGGAGAGAAACACGAACACATACACGGGACTCTATAGACAACCACAACCACGACCTTCACAGTTTAAACAAGGAAAATCACCTTAGTCAACTTCCTCCATTTTGCTTTCCTCGTTTTCCTCTTCCAGTGCAGGCATGTCAGCATCATCAGCACCAGTCTCATCCTCATCAATGCTAAGACCCAACTTCAACATTCTGTGAATTCTTGAAGCAAATGTGTTAGGGTCATCGAGACTGAATCCAGAAGTCAACAGCGCAGTCTCAAAGAGAAGCAGCACCAAGTCCTTCACTGACTTGTCGTTTTTGTCAACCTCGGCCCTCTTTCGCAGCTCCTCCATGATACCATTGTCCGGGTTAATCTCCATAGTCTTTTTGCTTGACATATAAGCACCCATGGAGGTGTCCCTCAATGCTTGAGCTTTCATAATTCTTTCCATGTTAGCTGTCCAACCATATTCCCCAGTAACCAAGCAGCATGGAGAGTCCACAATCCTATCAGAAACCACCACTTTCTCCACCCTATCCCCTAGAATGTCCTTGACAACTTTGCAGAGATTCTCGAACGATTTCTTCTTTTCTTCCTTCTTCTTTTTCTCTTCCTCAGATTCGTCATCAAGCTTCAAGCCTTCTTTGGTTGCAGACACTAGCTTTTTTCCGTCATACTCTTTTAATTGACCAACAGCATATTCGTCAATAGCATCGACCATGAAGAGCACTTCATATCCCCTCCTCTTAAGCTTCTCTAAGAATGGAGAGTTCTCAACCGCTTTCTTACTCTCACCAGTGATATAGTAGATGTCCTTCTGACCATCCTTCATCCTTGTGACATAGTCCTTCAAGCTGGTCATCTCATCACCGCTTTTTGTAGAGTAGTATCTGAGAAGATCAGCAAGTTTACCCCTGTTCTGGCTGTCTTCATGAATACCCAACTTGATGTTCTTGGAGAAGGCTTCATAGAATTTCGTGTAATCCTCTTTGTTTTCTGCAATTTCAAAGAACATCTCAATACACTTCTTCACCAGATTTTTCCGGATGACCTTGAGAATCTTATTCTGCTGAAGCGTTTCTCTAGAGATGTTAAGTGGCAGATCGTCAGAATCCACCACACCCTTGACAAAGCTAAGGTACTCAGGAATGAGCTCCTCACAGTTGTCCATAATGAAGACCCTCCTGACATATAGCTTAATGTTGTTCATCTTCTTCCTTGTGTCAAATAGATCAAAAGGAGCCCTCTTTGGGACGAAGAGAATAGCCTTAAATTCGAGCTGCCCTTCAACAGAGAAGTGTTTCACAGCAAGGTGTTCCTCCCAGTCGTTTGTTAAACTCTTGTAGAATGAAGCATACTCTTCCTTAGTAATCTCTTCAGGTTTACGGAGCCAGATGGGTTTCTGCTTGTTGATCTGCTGCCATTCGTGTGTTACTTCCTTTATTTTCTTCTTCTTCTTTTTGTCCTTCTCTTTGTCCTCGTCAACTTCCTCAACATCACCCTCATCTTCCTTCTTTGTCTCCTCGTCTTCATCATCACTGATCTCTTTCTCTGTGGTCTTCTCAACCAAGAGATATATTGGGTAGCTTATGAACTCAGAATGTTTTTTAACAAGATCTTTTATTCTCCTCTCTTCCAGGTATTCCAACTACAATAATCAGAAATGTTTCATGTTTATGGGAAGAACATTAAATTATCTAAGAAAAGCAACAAAGTTCATGAATTCTAGTCGGCGAAATTATCTAAGAGCAACAATATTTGTTAATACTAGTATGTCTTGTACATCAATGTACAAAAAATTGTTGAACGTTAACATATACTCATCTAGAATCTAGATGGATTTCAATCTTAAAGCAACTTCAGTCTATTCAAATTATTAAACCTGTCCGACATAAGAAATACCTAATGCCAAATAGATTGCAACAATACCTGATCATCCTTGAGGAAGAGAGTTATTTTAGTACCCCTTCCCAAAGGCTCACCACTAACATCTCTTGTTACAGTGAAAGAACCTCCAGCCTGGGATTCCCAGACATATTGTTCATCATCATTGTGTTTGGTTGTCACAATAACTTTCTCGGCCACGAGGTAAGCAGAGTAAAAACCTACACCAAACTGACCAATCATACTAACATCAGCCCCGGCCTGCAATGCCTCCATAAATTCCTTTGTCCCAGACCTTGCAATTGTCCCCAAATTGTTCACCAAATCTGTTCACATTCAGATGTATACTATCAGAGCCCAGAATCTCACATCACTACCATGTATTTTTACATACAGCACCTTATGACAGAATACTAAGGCATTTGAAGATCAAATTTTAGCTATTGTATGTAAAAAAAATTTAATTTCAATTACACCCCCAGTATCTATCAAGTTTATATGAAATGTGGGCCTTCCAGAAGGTGACAGATATGCAGAGGTTTCCTCATGCGGTTCTCCATTGAAAGTCTCAGTTAATAAACTTGCAAAAATGTACCTATCTAATTGCCAATACAAATGAAATACTGCAAATTTTCCTATTCATCATCTCTATGGGTAACATAGGAGGAATCTCCTTATTTCTCGGGGCACTACTTGCCTACTTGGAGATTTGATTCTTAAAATCACTTGCAATATTCATCATGCATAAACTCGAAAATAGGTCTGTGTACTTATTAGTACATAAAATCTCACCTTAAATCAATATTTAATTACAACCACTACCTGAAACAGTAGTACAAGACTATGCTTCAGAATCTTAACTGGGTGCATTTTCAGACGTCAATGCAATTTTCGAACATAGCTTTCAAATCCAAGTGACAAAAGTCACATAATGAAATTTGAAGTGCAAAAACTACTGAGAAGCTATCCAAAACCAAAATTGACAAGACTCGTGTGTAGTTCGACTCATACTATTATATAAAGATTTCTTTCTTCATTCTGCCACATTTCAATAATTCAATTTAAAACCTCAATTCCACTATGCAGATTTTCCATTCTCAGTAAGCAACAAATATTGCAATTCTTCTATCAGGTTTCATTCCTATTACATCTCAACAACAAAGCAACAGCTCTGTGTGCGTAAAAATAAAGGTCGAGGTCGAATGAAATTGTAATATACCTGCTTTACTCATGCCAACGCCGCTATCAATAATAGTCAAAGTCTTGTTAACCTTGTCCGGGACAATCCTAATGAAAAGCTCCGGCTGCGAATCCAACTTGCTCTTGTCCGTCAAGCTCTCAAATCGAATCTTATCCAACGCCTACATCAAAAACTCGACAAACAACTCTCAGCATCTCCTAAATAACAGGAATTCAAATTTTAATCCAAAATTGAAAAATCGTGTACGAATACTTACATCGGAGGAATTGCTTATGAGTTCTCGAAGGAAGATTTCCTTGTTGCTGTAAAAAGTGTTGATGATAAGACTGAGAAGCTGGTTGATTTCAGCTTGAAATGCGAAGGTCTCTGTTTCTCCCATGCACTGGCGGACCCAGGGGGGGTCCTGGGG